ATAATCCTATTTAGAATATTTGCAAATCAAGATTTCTCAAATACCTTTCGTTTGGTACCCATATTGTAACATTTCATTTATTTTATAAATTTAATTGAGTTAAATTTTCAAACCTCCTCAAACATATTTTTGACCGTAAGTCTTCTTAAAACTATTTAGTTTGATATCCACATTGCAATATTTCGTTTATTTAATCAATTTAACTGAGTTACAATTTTAAAATAGGTTGCAACCCACCACAAAAATATTTCCAGCAGTCATGTTTTTTAGACCCCTTTAATTTGATTCCTATATTGTAATAAGTCATTTATTTTATCGATTAAATTTAGTTAAATTTTCAAAAAGGGAACAACCCTCATCAAAAATATTTTCGGCTGTAAGCTTTCTTAAAACTAAAGTTTAATACCCACCTTGCAATATTTCATTTATTTTATCAATTTGACTGAGTTAAAATGTTCAAATATGTGGCAACCCTCCTCAAAAATATTTCCTGCAGTTATCTTTCTTAAACCTATTTAATTTAATATCTATATTGGAATATATCATTTAGTTTATCAATTAAATTGCGCTAAATTTTTTAACAGGTGGCAATCCTACTTTAAAATATTTTCGCCTGTGAGCCTTCTTTAAACTCTTTAGTTTTATACCCACATTGCAATATTTCATTTACTTTATCAATTTAACTGGGTTAAAACTTTTAAAATAGGCGGCAACCCTCCTAAAAAATATTTCCAGCAGCTATCTTTCTTAAACCTCTTTAATTTAATATCTATATTGTAAAATATAATTACGTTTATCAATTAAATTGCGAAAAAAATTTAACAGGTGGCAACCCTACTTTAAATTTTTTCGACTGTAAGCCTTCTTAAAACTTTTTAGTTTGACACCCACATGGCAATATTTTATTTATTTTATCAATTTGACTGAGTTAAAATTTTCAAATAGGTGGCAACACTCTTCAAAAATATTTCTAGCAGTTATCTTTCTTAACCCTCTTTAATTTGATACCAATATTGTAATATTTCATTTCTTTCATCAGTGCAATTTAGTTAAACTTTGAAACAGGTGGCAACCCTAATCATAAAAATTTTCGGCTGTAAGCCTTCTTAACACTCTTTAATTTGATACCCACATTGCAATATTTCATTTACATAATCAACTTAACTGAGTTAATATTCTCAAATAGGTGGCAAACCCCATCAAATATATTTCCAGCAGCTATCTTTCTTTAACCTCTTTAATTTGATACCCATATTGCAATAATTTATTTATCTTATCAATATATTTGAGTTTAAAAATTTTCAAATAGGTGGCAACCGTCCAATTTTTTGCGATATCATTGGTTCTGGTATTATACCGAACAATACAAAAAAAAAAAAATTATTCAAATCGGTTCAGAAGTTCTCGAGTTTTGACGACCGTGACATACGAACACAACATTTTTATTGATATAGAAGATTTACTTTATTAAAGTTAACAACTTTATAAAATATTAATTTTTATGAGAGAACAAAAAAGCACAGCTACACAGCTTTGCACACCACAAACCAAAATTCACAATTTTACACCAAGTTATACACCAGGGTGCTACTTGAGTGTTTTATTGAGCTGCTATTTCGGAGATCACCACACCTCCTCCTGAGGCTTTTTCATCGAGTTCACTGGGGTTCGTACTAGTGACTCCGGCTTATAGAGCCAGTGGTCTACCCACTGAGCAAAGTTCACCATGTAAACCGTTGTTAAGTTTTTCACTTTTTTATTTGTCAATCCAACTACAATACAGGACCTCTATTTTGCTGATATTTAGACTTCACCATGTGCTTGTTGTTTTCTGCACTGTTTTTTTTTAAATTAAAAACGGCGTCAAGATGAATAAAGTTGTTGAATATGATAACTGTAATATAAATAAGCGTTAAAAATTACGATTTTTCTTACATAATTTAGGCTTCGCTAGGCATCGCTAGGCATCATCGGATCTGGCTGGAAAAATAGGCTGACTTCCAAAACGTCAATTGCTTTGCATACGTACAATGTATAAGGTTCCATAACATCGAACTACAAAATATTGACAACGTATACTGTTCCAAAACGCATCCGAAAAGTTATCGAAACGCAGCGCTAGAGCAATCAGCGCATCAGAAACAAAGTTGATGCTTCGTTTTTTATTGGTTACCATTGGTGTTTTAGAAATGGACAATTCAGAGAAAATGTTCATTGCTATATTGAATATTTAAAATATACAATGTATATGGTTGCAATGTGTCGCAACTTGCATATGAAAACAGTTTGAATGCCGCAGTGTAACAGTTTCCAAACATTGTATTGATACGTTTTGGAAGTCAGCCATACGTTATTTAATGTTTTGAGAACCGAAAATTTATGGATTAATAAAAATTTATGGTCAATCTAACCAATCATGCGTACATATTTTTAGTACTATTTGCCTCTAACCATATGACCAGGGAACGGATTTTTAGGACCTAACCTATTAAAAAGGCAAAATAAAGTAACCAAATATGCTAGAAAACGCAAAATAAAAAAGCGAAATAGGCAGTAGAAGGCACTAAAAAAAGAGAAAAACCGAAAAATAATCAAAAATACATTTGTTTTAGAAATGTTTATTTTACAAGTAAAAAGAGAAAAACTATGAACTTGTTTCATTATATGAAACACTTGTACTTTGAATCGTTGACTATTTTTACCGACTTCCAAAAAGGAGGAGGTTATCAGTTCGTCGGAATATTTTTATTTTTTTTTATATATGTTACCGCATAACTTTGGACCACGTCAACCGATTTCGATAATTCTTTTTGCATCGGAAAGGTAGTCTCTCAAAGGTGGTCCCATACTAATCCGATCATTGGATCATGAAATATATATATACATATATTTTTTGTTTTTAAGTCGTTTTTTTTGCTACAAATTACTTGTAAATTTTCGAGTTTTTAACTCACAAAACTTTAATCTCTATAATTGTAGTAACATTGAAACACAAGACTTTTTTTTTAAGTTTTCTGGCAACTTTTTCATTCGATTTGCGCGAGAAAAGTGTTGAATGTACTACACGTGCGCTCGACGTGGGTTAATACAAGTGGCACCCAATTTAAGTATGGAACGGTTAAACTTTCATATTATCAGGAATAAGGGCTTTTTCCTTGCTCTTTACAATTAAAGGTAGAAAAGGCAACATCAAATGTGTATATATGTAATCAGGGAAATCTAAATCGTGGACATTCTAAATCGAATGTGCTCAATCTCTTTAGCAGCAATAAGGCAATTTGCATAAAATCCGTTCCCTGCGTATGACATTGTATATCAACCTTCAATACCTCCAATTTTAGATACCTATTTATGTACTGTCTTGTATGTTCAACAGGGATTTAATGGAAGAGCTTGTAGTTTATATACGCGAAGCAGTCGACAGAAAACAGGAGAATATGCGACGTCGGCGTCGGCGTGATGCCTTGCGCTTGCAGCTAGTACGTGTGCTGGAAAAAATTGCAGAAAATGGCACATTTGGCGTAAGGTAAATAGATGAATAAAGTAAGCGTAATACGAGGGTCATTAAAAAGTCTTTAGTATCCGGAACACTAATGCCATTTGGGTCGGTCTGGCATTTCTATCGTAAAATTGGAAATTTTTATCATTAACGTGCTCAGAAATTTTCACAGTACGAGCGCTTTCTGTGTGATTTATAGCTACTTCAAAGTTAAAAGTAGAAAAAAAGGTTAATATAAAAAAAAAGATTTTGGTTGGATGATTGCTTACAACTTTCGCCGTTGATGAACACAAAACAGTGAAAGGATAAACTTATTCCTCCTTAGGGTGAGGAAACACCATCAAGGCCAGTGTCTAAAATTGGTAAAATGCATCCGTACTTCGTTCGACGGTGAACATTTAGAAGGTCGCCTAATATCGGTTAGTGCGCCAGAAAACATGAACATTGTACGCAGGGCGATATAGGCGATATAGATCGTCATGGCACATATTAGTTGCGTTCCAGATGCTTTTCTTGTAAATCCTGTTTGCGGGTTTTTACAGGAAGTCGTTCCCGGTCACCACCTTCCGTAAGGTTTAGTAATAGCGAAAAGAGGTTTTCCTGTAAATCCTGTAAAACCTGCAAATCGTGAAGCAAATTGAACGCAACTATTGTGAGATTAGGGGGCCCTATGCATTCACGCTATACCGTTAGAAAGCTATGTACGCGCAGTATACCATATGATGTGGCCATTGCTAAAACAAAAAAATGCTCGCGTCAATTAGTGGATACAAACGCTGTAAAAAAACAAGCAGGCCATGTCCAGACAGTTAAATCACATTGTAACAGGTGACGTTACTTAAGTATATGTGCAGAAGCCAGCAAAAAAGGATTTTTCAACAAAAGGAAAAAGAAACCAATTTGTTCGCGCAAAGATGCGCTTCGAAACAAATGGTCGCTGGTTTCTTCACTATAACGGTCTTTCATCAAGCCAAAGCGAGCTTTGAAACAAATGATTTCTTAGGTACTCAAAACATTAATTTGAGGGGTCATCTGTCGTCGAGTCCAGGGCTCGANAAAGATGCGCTTCGAAACAAATGGTCGCTGGTTTCTTCACTATAACGGTCATGTCTTTCATCAAGCCAAAGCGAGCTTTGAAACAAATGATTTCTTATGTACTCAAAACATTAATTTGAGGGGTCATCTGTCGTCGAGTCCAGGGCTCGAAATATCACATACGATATCGTATTACTCGTTACGTAAAAACAAATCCCAATCAGCTTTATACGACTGGCGTATCACGTAATTTTCTCTCATACGGTTTTCGATCCGTGAACGGATGTTACGGATTCGAGTCCACATTTGCGAACTAATGGCTTTCTTATTTCCATATATCAAGGTCCATTTTGTGCACAACGCTTTTCATCGCCATCGCTAGTTCAAAAAATATGTTTTTCAGTTACCGACTTCACTGCGGGAAAAGTTATACACCAACGCGTGCAAAAGTGTATAAATCATGCTGAAAGATATATTGAAAACCAATAAGACCATTTCTACCGACAAAATTTGTTTCTTTTTTAGGACTTTTTAGTGATCCTCGTGTATCAATTTATCATTAGGTATTTATAATACTTATAATCTAAACTTCTATACGTATATATACTATATATATACTATATACTTATACTAATTATATGAAGAGAAGTCCCTTTTTTTTGTAACAGGTAATCTCGCGAACGGCTGGTCCGATTTTCATGAAATTTTGTATACAAATAGCTTTCGGTAACCACGGTAGGTGGACCAGGGACCGGTCTATTCGAAAAAATCTTATTATAGTCCGATTTGCTTAAAATTTAGTACGTAAGTAGCTTTTTAGCATATATTAGCATATATGACCCATTTTTTCCGGGAGGTGGTCCAGGGACCGATCTATTCGAAAAAATCGAATTTACGGTCCGATTTGCTTAAAATTCGGTGCGCAGGTAGCTTTTTAGCATATATTAGCATATATGATCCATTTGGTCCGAGAAGTGGACCAGGGACCGATCTATTCCAAAAAATTTATGGTCCGATTTGCTTAAAATTCAGTACGTAAGTAGTTTTTTAGCATATATTAGGATATATGGTCAATTTTTTCCGAGAAGTGGACCAGGGACTGATCTATTCGAAGAAATCGTATTTATGGTCCGATTTGCTTAAAATTCGGTACGTAGGTAGCTTTTTAGCATATATTAGCATATATGATCCATTTTGTCCGAGAAGTGGACCAGGGACCGATCTGTTCGAAGTAATCGTATTTATGGTCCGATTTGCTTAAAATTCGGTACGTAGGTAGCTTTTTGCCTGGATAAGCTTATAGATTCCTGTTTTCCAATTTTCATGCAATTTCGAATATAAATAGCTTTAAGTAACGACCACATCAAGGGGCGAATTCGTCACTAGGCAAGATTTTTTTGCGCCAATCAGAAACAACGGATAGTGTCAAAATATAATTATAATATACTAGCAGACCCGGCGAACTTCGTCCCGCCCAAAATGTTTATATATTTTGTTGAAACTTTTTGGTCCAACATTTTCACCAACAATTCACGTTTACGATTGTCATTGGCACATTCGTCTGCTAGGATTGGTCATTTGCCGCTTTAAATAACCTAAGGAAAGTGTTATATCCGTAAAGAAGTTCTTGAAATTCTCCAGTTGTGCGGCATTTCATAGCACGGTTATTCGCAAAGCGAAATACATTTTTTCCTCTTCACTCCCTGGCGACAACAATGACCCGGTTCTATAGTGAATATCCTTGAAGCTTTACAGTCTAGTTGGTGGCAATTTCAAAATGGGTGCGGATCAATGTTCTACAGAAATGTAATATACATATACTTATTTCAGACGAAAGTTTGAACGCATAATAATATTGGAAAATCACATCCATTGGTCCAATCGCAACGCAGGAGCGTTCGATATACTCAATGGTGCAACAGGTCGATTTAATCTGACCTTCACGGCCCCTTTTCTCACTTGGCTATTTTTAGTAACAACTCGACTTCAGTACCATTTGGAAGCACGTTTTTGCAATAGTATTGCATACATATTTCAAATATTAGCCAAATCGGATCATAAATAAGATTTTTATCCATCCATCCAGAGACCCACTCAAATACACAAAAAGTTTCGCTAAAATCCGTACAACCATTTAGGAGGATTTCACTCACAAACACACCTACAGAAGAATAAAAAAATTCATTCAAAGATAGCTAAAGGTCGGTAGGTTTGTAACCATTAATTGAAAATTTCTGGCATGGACGTTTTGTGCCTCCACCTCAAGCAATTAATATTAGTCGTTCTTCAATCCGTGCGCTCGAAAATTCCTCGGGGAATTTAAGTTTCTAAAATAAAAGGTTCTAAAATAATGCCCTCGGCTGTTTCCGAGGTCAGTGAACACGCTGGGAAATTTTTTTTCGATGTGGCCCTTATACCTTGAGATATTCAGCCTCATTGCGTAAGTTATAAATTTGAATCGTTTACTGTCGTGCTGAAATAAGTAAACGACGAAAATCGTCGAAAACTAGGCAGTGCTGCCAAGTTTTTCCGTTTTAATACACTAGTCGAGTGGAAATTTTGGGCAATGACATGCAATTTTCGATACGATTCGACTCTCGAAAAAACGACTTGCATCCGAAACGACTCTCGCAATAAGGCTGATTATACAAAAATCGTGGAAAAAAAACAGAAAATCCGAATTTTGCTCAAAGGTTGATTATTTCTTCGAAAACAAATTTCTGATTTCTTCTCATTGATGATAAGTATTTACAACCAGTTTTTTTTTGACAAACAAAATAAGTGTTCGCAAAGAATTATGAATTCTTTACTCCTCTATATGTATATCGGTAACATACATATATCTCTATGCATTGCTAATGCTTGAAACACATTCAAAACGACGGCCAACGGACCACAGCTGTCAAATTATTTTAATACGTGCTCTTATGTAGATAAATAATTTGGCGGCTATAGAACTACACCGCGACTGTGGTTGTGGCGAGCTTAGATCTATTTATATTTTTCCAGCGACATATAAGGTTCTTCTTTTTCTTTTATGTCAAACTGATACAAATTCATGTCGCTGTCGCGTTCAAAAAATTCATGTCACTATCGCCAAAGCGTTTAGATAATGAAGTATTGAAAGAAGTGAAACTTCTTAAAAAAGGTGTACTCACGAAATTTGATGTGTAAACATATGTTTACGGCCCGGCAAATCATTAGGCGATTGAGTTACATACATAGGTTTGGTTAGAAATTAAACATTAATTTCATTTCATGTTATTCATTTTCTGATATATAATTTATTTATTTATTTTCCGGTAACATCCCCTTATATTAACTCGCCTTGCTAGCATCCTTTAGATCGGGTTGTAATGGAAGTAACTAAATGGAGTGAACTGTCACATAATTATCTATTATATGTTTAACAAATAAATGCAAATGTTTATGATGCAATCAATAGATCCGTACGAATTCGCCGCGATTTGTTACGATTCTCCCCGAGCAATATAACCAAGACTCTAAGTGACGTACACACTTTTTTTTGCAAAAAGCATTTATTTAAGTTGAAAGAAGATAAATTCCTTAATTCGGCATTTTTTCTTACTCGCTTTCTATCTTCCAAGGCGAATTTATATATTCTTATCACGAATTCATATATTCATGTGGTAGCAAAAGTATAAAAACATGAAATGACTTAACAAATTATACGCACAATTATCACGTTTATGCGTAGTCCAATTCACGAAATCATTTCATAGATCTGAGTAAAAACTCCATTTCGCGTAAAATGGAAATCATGAAATGGTGTCCATGCACTCAGTTTATAAATACTCAAACGCATGAAATGATTTCATGAATTGGCATGACAGCATGAATTACAACAAACACATCATTTTGACATAATGCAAGCCTTAAACGTTGCAACCGTTGGTTCAAATCGATCCGAAATCAAGTTGTACGTTTTGCCCCCAAAACATTCATTCATTGTAAAATCTAATTTTTCATAG